GAATGTTATGAAAATTGGCAGAGGCTTCTTCAAGATCAAGAAATAGCAGCTGAAGAAAAAAATATTTATATTATCCATATTTTACTGATAAATGGACTAAGTTTTTAACACTGACAGCAGCAATTGTAGGCAAGACATTATTTTATCAGAAAGATTTAAAACTTATTCTCCTTAAATACTTATTGCCATCCTGACATAGTTACTTGTAGTTATTATTGAAGCCTTTTAGTCACATTTGATATTATTGAGACTCAAGGTTATTTATAATTTGTACCAAAAAGATATTGAATATACTCATAAAAAATGTATTTATTAATTATTTTTTCGAGTTGCTTTTTACATGTTTTATCTGCTCTGCAAACTCCATTCAATTATAATTAATTCTAAATTTGATTTCATAATGATGCAAAAACTCATAAAAACTAGGGTCTTTTGTAATTTTTTATCCAGACATGCTGAATCTATGTCATCGCTCCAGATTTTATGAATTCTGAATTGAAGGCTTATGAAACTAATGATGTCTTTAATTTATATGACTTGGAGAAAATTTATACACTAATTTATTCATCTACTGCCAACTTTTAATATGTTATTTGATTTTAAATAAAGAAAAGAGAGGTCGAATAACTGCTAAAAAAAAATTAAAACAAGCTGTGTATTGATATCAAAGTTTATTCCCACACTTTTTTCAACTACTATTATTCCAATTCTTTCCTGTGGCAAATAAGAGTACTGATACAATACCAGTATGATTGACATTTGTCATGATTTACAAACAATTACACTCAAATGTGTGAATATTAACTGGAATCATGTCCAATATAATGTACTGCCAATCTTTATTGACCACAGCTAATATTTCTTGTATTACATAATTGAACAGACACTTTTTGTACAGTTCAATACACAATTCTTGACCTAAATAGTATACCTTATACTTTTGATCTATGCTTCATATAAAATTAATAATACTTAACATTTTGTTGTTGTTAAAAAGTACATTTCAATGCCTCTTTCTGGAAATTATTAAGTCAGACTTCTATAAAAAAAAATAAACCACCTTTCTTTGAAGATTCCTCTTTCCATTCATATCAAAATGTTTCTCTAATTATACCCCTGCTTTTAAAAAAGGGGGGTATACTGTCAGTAATATTGTTTGCCTCAAATTACTTCCGAAATTTGGCTTTTTCCCCTAGAGAAAATTCCCAATCACTTAAAAAAAATGGCATAAAATTCCTCCCAATAAGTTGTACATTTTTCCCAAACGGTGATGGCATAGGTAGTAATGTAGGTAAATTTCGTATTCATGTTATTATTTTGATATTATGAAAGTGCTTTTGAGATCCGGGTTTCTGATTAGAATCATCGGGGGGTTTGTAACACACATGGTTTTCAATATATTAAGTACTGTCATTTTTATACGACCGCAAAAAAATTTTGCGTCGTATAATGCTATGATGTCATCGTCCAAAGACACATTTGACAATAACTTTAGTTTAAGTAAATGGATCTCTATGAATTTTTACCAGAAGGTTCAATACCACAAAAGGAAGGTTTGGGATTGATTTTGGGGGTGATGGTACTAACAGTTTAGGAATAAGGGGCCAAAAACAAGTCGTGTATTGGTATGACGTTGGCGTCGTCGTCTGAAGACACATTGGTTTTCGCACTCTAACTTTAGTTTAAGTGAAAGGATCTCTATGAAACAAATACCACAAAAGGAAGGTTGGGACAGATTTTGGGGGTTATGGTACCAACAGTAAAGGAATTAGGGGCCAAAAACTTCCCAAATTACTTCCAGACATAACGTGTGACATTGTACCACAAGGTTCCATATCACAAAGGGAATGCTGGGATTGATTTTGGGGGTAATTGCCTCAAAATTTTAGGAATTAGGGGCCAAAAAAGGGCAAAAAACAAGCATTTTTCTAGTTTCATGACAATAACTTGTGTGTAAATGTATGGATCTTTCTGAAATTGTACTACAAGGTTCCATATCACAAAGGGAAATATGGAATTGAGTTTGGGGGTTATTGCCGAAACGTTTAGGAATTGGGGGCCAAAAAGGGGCCAAAAATAAGCATTTTTCTAGTTTCCAGACAATAACTTGTGTTAAAGTGTATGGATCTCTCTGAAATTGTAGTGCAAGGTACCATACCACAAAGGGAAGGCTGGGATTGATTTTGGGGGTAATTGCCTCAATATGTTAGGAATTAGGGACCAAAAAGGGGCAAAAAACAAGCATTTTTCTGGTTTCAGGACAATAACTTGTGTGTAAGTGTATGGATCTTTCTGAAATTGTACTACAAGGTTCCATATCACAAAGGGAAAGCTGGGTTTGAGTTTGGGGGTAATTGCCCTAAACGTTTAGGAATTTGGGGCCAAAAAACACATTTTTATACGACCGCAAAAAAATTTTGTGGTCGTTTATTGGTATGACGTTGGCGTCGTCGTCGTCGTCGTCCGGCGTCGTCGTCCGAACACACATTGGTTTTCGCACTCTAACTTTAGTTTAAGTGAATGGATCTTTTTGAAATTTGACCATAAGGTTAAATACCACAAAAGGAAGGTTGGGATTGATTTTGGGGGTTATGGTACCAACAGTTAAAGAATTAGGGGCCAAAAAGGGGCCAAAAATAAGCATTTTCTAGTTTCCAGACAATAACTGTGGAACGGTGTATGGATCTCTCTGAAATTATACTACAAGTTTCCATACCACAAAGGGATGGTTAGGATTTGCTTTGGGGGGTTATGGCTCAAACCGTTTAGGAATTAGGGGCAAAAAAGGGGGAAAAACAAGGTTGTCCTGGTTAATGGACAAATACTTTAGTACAAAACATAATTTAAAGCAGTGTAAGGGAGATAAATCAAATACATCATTGAAATTATCTCCCTTACACTGCTTTTAAATTATGTATAAAGTAATGGTTAATAAACAATAAAGATAATTTAAAACAGTGTAAGGGAGGTAATCCAAATACAACGTTTTGGTTACCTCCCTTACACTGCTTTTAAATTATGTTTAAAGAAATGCATATTTATAAAGGAAGACCAGTAAAAATATCTGCAAATGTTGCAACTTTTTATTTACAAAAAAATCCATATTCAACAAAAATTGAAAATATGGGGTTCTTAGATATGCTGAATCTAACCATGTATTTTGATTTTGGACATTGGACCATAATAGGTAAATTAAAAAAATTCAAGTTCTTAGACCACATTCTTTCTGTGTCAGAAACCTATGCTGTGTCAAATATTTAATAACAATCCAAATTCAGAGCTGTATCAAGCTTGAATGTTGTGTCCATACTTGCCCCAACTGTTCAGGGTTCGGCCTCTGCGGTCCTATCTAGCTGCGCCCCAGCGAAGCATTTTATTATCAATTGTCACCTGGTGAGATTGTACAAGGTAAAAAGAGGATTCCACATGGCTAAGGTGTTAATTGACTTCTTAATTTATGACCTAATACTATGTAGATGAAGTGAGCCCCGCTTATTTATCTAATTTATTCTTCCCGTTAAGAGAACGACCTCAGCGTGAATTTGTGACAATTAAAGGTACAATTAAAGCCAGTCAGCATATCAGATCGTATATTACCGCATCCAACAACACAGCAGTAGTCCGTTTTAAAATCTTTAAATGTGTCATTGTTAATAAAGTTAGTCTCGTCAATATAATTTTTATATTTTGATTCAAATGATGCTCATGTTGCTTTGACATGTAAACGCAAACATTTAATCAGATGATTTTTTTTCCAAGTCTGCATGGTCACTGCATATCAACCGTTAGCCCCCAGTTGATGAACTCTCTGAAATAATCGCGTGATTTCATAGTTTGGCTAATTAGATTAGACATGCGCAGTTAAATGTGAAACTGGTGTATTGCAAAGTGTTGTGCAAAAGAAGATACTTCGTATAAATTGCTTATTTCTTATTTCTTGACCAATTTCAATGGGGTTTTATTCTAGAATTCTTGGGGTTCTTTAATATGCTGAATCTAACCATGTATTTAGTTTTTGGATTTTGGGCCCCGTTTTTAAATTGGTCCACATTGAGGTCCAAAGGGTCCAAAATTAAACTTTGTTTGATTTCATCAAAAATTGAATTATTGGGGTTCTTTGATATGCCGAATCTAACCGTGTATTTAGATTCTTAATTTTTGGTTCCGTTTTCAAATTGGTCTACATTAAGGTCCAAAGGGTCCAAAATTAAACTTAGTTTGATTTTAACAAAAATTGAATTCTTAGGGTTCTTTGATATGCTAAATCTAAACATGTATTTTGATTTTTGATTATGGGCCCAGTTTTCAAGTTGGTCCAAATCGAGGTCCAAAATTAAACTTTGTTTGATTTCAACAAAAATTGAATATATGGGGTTCTTTGATATGCTGAATCTAACCATGTATTTAGATTTTTGATTTTTGGGCCCCGTTATCAACTTTGTCCACATTGAGGTCAAAAGGGTCCAAAATTAAACTTTGTTTGATTTCATCAAAATTGAATTCTTGGGGTTCTTTGATATGCTGAATCTAACCATGTATTTAGATTTTGGATATTGGACCATAATAGGTGAATGTCCAATTTAAATTTTTTAAGTTCTTAGACCACATTCATTCTGTGTCAGAAACCTATGCTGTGTCAAATATTTAATCACAATCCAAATGCAAAGCTGTATCAAGCTTGAATGTTGTGTCCATACTTGCCCCAACTGTTCAGGGTTCGACCTCTGCGGTCGTATCAAGCTGCGCCCTGCGGAGCATTTTATTAGTTTCTGTTCTCTACTTAAGATAGCCTCAACCAAATGTTATGAGACTCACACACAATGCTTATTACCACAAAACTTTGTGTAGCGTCACTTTTTCCATTCTTCAGTTATGTCCCTTTATAACTATATGATTTGCAAGCGGGGGCATCATCTGTGTCCACATGTGGACACTATCCACATTTATGTTGCAGTATATTTCGGAAATCAACTTAAAATATGTTTGATTTTTATTTTCAGAATCCCTCAAAGATACAGGTCATATTTTAGAAAGTAGATTTTCATCTACATTTGGAAGTGTCTGTATCCAAGTTGTTCCTATTGAGCCAGGAACTAATATCAATGAACAGCTTGTGACAAAATTTGTTTCCAATATCAATACTGCAGAAGGTATGTTGTAGAATTTTATGATACAATGCATTTAACTCCAGATCTGATGTAAATTTAGTCATGTCGTTTGTGATATTTCAGTTATTTAACTCTTTCAGCACTATGACCCGGTTTAGCGGGAAATCAATTTTACTTCTGTAAACACTTTAGCCCGCCATACCGGGCTGCTCATGCTACTTTTTTTTAATCCGAGATTTCCATTGGTCAGTCGTCGGGAAAACCCCTCTAAAGTAACATACTAGTGTCATATACATTCATTCAAGTTTCTCTGGCTTTTTCCGTACTTTTAACGGAAAATAAAGTAAGTATTGGTCTATTATTAGCGATGAAATTTTTGGAAATTTTTGTACACAAAATGGCGGATATCGATAGTGAAAACGAACTGTAAGGAGACGAAATTATTGATAATGTCGGCCAATTTGACTTAATAAATGTTAATAAAGCTGACAGAAATGAATTAGAAAGGCAATGGAGAAATATAGTTGGGGACAGTGGTGATGAAGATGACTTTGAGGGGTTTGAAGCCGCGGACATGTTGACAAAAGTTTTAACACATGGAGAAAGACAGAAACTCAAAGAAACATTCGTAAATTTAGGGAACGTGTGGGCCCAGGAAGAAATTTTGACACTTCAGCATCTGCCCTAAACTATTTTCAATGTTTTTATACTGAAGAAGTCTCCACTTCTATCGTCAATTTAACTAATTTGAACGCAATCCGAAAATCGCACATGAAAGTTTACACATTTACCTGTGCTAATGAAGTACAAATACTTTGTCAATTGAGACAATATAACATTATTTTTTTTTAATAATCATAAACTATAAAATCAATGTAAATTCAAACAAAAATAAAAGTGATGTCATAGTTAAAACACCAGTTTATCAAAATTATTTAAAGTGTGCACCACATTTTTTATGTTATTTCGAATAGGAGGAAAAAAGGTTACAGCCATTCCTTTTAATTTAATTCTAAATTCCATTGTAAGCTGGAATAAATTATGAAAAAACGTTGATGACGTCACGGTCACATGACAAAATTATGTCTATGAGTTGATAGACAACACACTGTCAGCCAATCAGAAGACTCGTTACATCCACAATTGAATTATTTCAAGTTACTAGTAAAATATAAATGAGGTTGCTACATTAAAAATATGGTGATGTCATATGACTTCTAATGAGACAACTATCTGTTTAAAATGATTATCAGATATTGTGACATATTTTATGAATTAAGTTCAAACTATAATACATAGACAGCAATAACGATAAGCAATACATTATTTACAAACAATTTATATGACATAAATCTAATGTGGACTTGGTCATCAAAGAAGTTATTGCCTATTTTATTTTTTTCTATCAAATGAAACTTTGTCCTTATATTTCCTATAGCTAGGGTCCTAGCTAAAACAAACAGATTCCTCAATTGGAGCATGTATTTACTTTGAATGCCAATAATAAAAAAAAATGAAAGAAACTATATCTAATAGTTCTTTGAGATCTGAGGAATGAAATTATAGGATTTATTTCATGATATGAATACAGGTTTTTCTATGTTTTTGTTTAGCTGGGAAATCGCATTATTTCATTATTTATTTTGCATTTAAAATTTTTGTATGCCCTGCCATAGCGGAAGGGGTATAAAGTGTTTCTGTTCTCTTTCTTTAGTTTGCCTCAACCAAATGTTATGAAACTTATACACAATGCTTATTACCACAAAACAAAGATAAGGTTTGAATTTGGGTTGCGTCATTTCTATCATTTTAGAATTATGACCTTTACAAATGGAAAAGTTGCTGAATTTTTCATTTCTGTTCTTTAACTTAAGTTTTGCCTCATACAAATGTTATGAAACTTATACACAATGTTTATTAGCACAAAACTCAGATCAATTTCGAAATTTAGTTGGTGTCACTTTTACCATTGTTGAGTTATGTCCCTTTATAAATTTATATTCAAGTGGGGGCATCATCTGTGTCCCATAGATACATTCTCTATTTATTATTCAACCATCACTGTGGGTCTTAGGTAGACATTTTAACTTTTTTTATTCAAGCATCACTGATGATCTGTTGAGGACAAAACACACTTCAGGCATACAAAAATATAAGGCTGGTATCTATGATGAGGTTTCTTTTTATCCCCCCACCCCCCGTAGCTTACGTCCCAAACTTGGTTTCCATTCTCTAACTTTAGTTTGCCTCAACCAAATGTTATGAAACTTATCCACAATGCTAGAGCTATGCCCCTTTACAAATGGAAAAATTGCTGAATTTTTAGTTTCTGTTCTTTTACTTTAGTGTGCCTCAACCAAATGTTATGAAACTTATCCAGAATTTTTATTACCACAAAACACAGATCAAGTTTGAATTTTGGTGGTGTCACTTTTACTATTCTAGAGTTATGCTCCTTTACAAAAGGAAAAATTGCTGAATTTTTTGTTTCCGTTCTCTAACTTGAGTTTGCCTCAACCAGATTTTATGAAACTTTGACATAATGCTTATAAGCACAAAACTCAGATCAAGTACAAATTTGGGTAGCGTCACTTTTAAAGTTCTTGAGTTATGGCCCTTTATAACTTTATATGCAAGCGGGGCATCATCTGTGTCCCATGGACACATTCCCCATTTATTTACATATCATTTATTTGACTATTTCGAACAATATTTAGTTTGGTTAAAAATGTACATTGTATCTAAATAGTATACTAAAAATATTTGGTAAACATAAGTTGTAAGAAAGGTAGGAAATCTTCTGATTGTTTTTTCTATTCTTTCTTTTGAAGTTTTCTTGTTGATTTACTACATTGTAATAAGAATTGTTATATTTTTATCATTTAAGGAATGGAGATGAGACCAGAACACAACAGATTCACTCTGTATGCAAGCAATCACTTAGAGATTAAAAAAGTGATCACAGAATGTCTTTTTCAAAATCATGATTTAAGACTGACTTCAGTAGCTATTATTCTTGATGGTTTGTTAATTTATTGTAATTATTCACAAGATATAAATTTTCAAGCTGCATTTCATGGTAATTTTTGGTGGGAAATCACACGAGTCAGTATTCCCATTGGTAGATGTCCCTTTTAGTAGTAGTGGTTAAAATGATGACTTTCTAAATAATTAACCTTTGCTTTTGGTATTGATTTTGCAAATTGACAGTGCAGTCTTAGAATTACAGAACACCTAAAGGCTTAACCCTTTTCTCCATGGAGAATTATTTTATATACATATATATATATGAACCTTTAATTATTTCACATAGAATATTGCAATTGAATGTTTGAAATATGCATACTAAAATTAACGTAAGACTTTTAAGAACAATGTGATGACGATTTAAAAAAAATTATCATGTTTAAATATCAATAAATAATTATGCATGGCAAAAAAACATATTTCATAAGAGAATTCGTGTTAGATATTCCTGAGTATACATGTAAGCCTCAAATCTATGTCCAGCCTCAAATCTATGTCCTTTCCGCAAATCTATGTCCTTTCAGTAACATTGCGTCATAGACGTTCCAAATTTATGTCCTTTATTGTCTCAAATCTATGTCTTTTATTGTCTCAAATCTATGTCCTGTATTGTCTCAAATCTATGTCCTTTATCGAAATGTGGTGACTTAAGACATAGCAAGACGTCATCAAGTATGTGACGTCACTGCATAAAAGGAATGATGGCAGAGCAGGACACAATTCCAAATGAGGGATACGTTATATCTAGTAAGCGGAAAAAGGGTATTTCAAAGGATTCAAATCCAGAAGCGTTTTGGGCGGATATGCCTCACATTATTTTTAATAAGAAAGTGGCACAAAATGTCGTTTTTAAACACAATAAATTATACCTTAAACATTTGTATGTGGTATCTATACATACACCTTATCGCAATTTAGTCCAATCTGGAAAAAACAGTCATTTAGACAACTTCCTGTCTGGGTCAACAGCCAACAAACAAAGGTCATCAGTAACGAGCTGAGGGAGGGAAAAATTTAGAAAGCGATCAATAGGAAACTTTGATAGATTATGATCCACTTTTTCGAAACTGAAATTATAGTCAAAAAATATTTTGTTTGAAGTATTTACGATGTTTTAAACAGGTCTCATTAAAAAGTATCATGCATGGTGCATTGTTTAAACAGGGTCCCAGATAGCTTCAACTGGATGAAAAAGTTGTGTAATTTTAGAACTTATCCTGAATGGAATAAATAGCGATTAGGTGTATTGAAACATTGAACAAAATGTTTGTAAATAGGTGTATGTGTTTATAGCTTACGATACAGAATGGGTTTAATTCATTGTTGAAGGCCGTACATGTATCTTTAGTTGCTTGTATACAGATATCATTTTGTCTCAGGTTGTTTATTAACTTATATTTCATATTTTTTATCAAGACGTAATTAGTAAAGGGAAGTAACGATAATTACTACAGAACAATTAACGGGATCAGGAAAAGCAAACAATTTGAAAATGTTGTAGTTTTACAATAAAATGTAAATCATACAATAATTACACATGCATGTAAAAATTTTAAGCACACACATGGAGAATACCAGCCCAACTTAACATTGAATTATGGGAAAAGATTTAATAAAACAAAAATCCTAAAAAGGCCGTACTCATTAGACGTGCATAAATTTGGCGAAACAAACTGGAAAAAGATTTAAGAAAAGGACACAGATTTGAGGCCGTATCTATAACGGACATAGATTTGCGAATGACGTCACGATTGTAAACTAATTTAAAAATAGGACACAGATTTGAGGCCGTATCTTTTTTAACGGACATAGATTAGCGATTGACGTCACGATGGGGCACAGTTTTGAGAAACGGACACAGATTTGAGGCCGTACACAGATCTGAGTCTAACATATATATTTTAGCTCACTGCCCCAAAGGGCCATGTGAGCTTATGCCATCACTTGGCTTCAGTCGTTCTACCGTCGTCGTCTGTCTTCGTCATAAACTATTTCAAAAGTCTTCTCAGCTGAAACTATTTGGCAAAAAAACCTTCAAACTTTATTTGAATGTTCCTTAGGGTATTCAATTTATAATGTATTCGAAGTTTTGATCCATCAACAAAAATGACACCATGGCTGAAAATAGAACATATGGATCAAATGCTTATATCACAAAAACTGAAGAATTTAGAGCAAATCTGACCTGATAAAAATGTTCAATAGTTCATCAGCCATGTAATTTTCAGAGGTATGGAACAACCCATTGTTGGATTGCTGCCACTAAATTGGTAATTTTAAGGAAATTTTACGGTTTTTGGTTATTATCTTGAATATTATTGAAGATAAAGGTAAACTGTAAACAGCAAAAATGTTCAGTAAAATAAGATCTACAAAAAAATGTTCACTTGACCCCTTAAAGAGTGAATGCCCTTTAAAGACAATTTTACATAATTTGCTAACATTTAAAAATCATCTCCTCTGAAACTACTGGGCCAAATACTTCCAAACTTTAACTGAATGTTCCTAAGGGTATATAGTTTATAAATTGCATCCAAAGTTTGATCCATCAACAAACATGGCAGCCATGGCTAAAAATAGAACATAGGGGACAAAAGCAGTTTTTGTTGCTTATATCTCAAAAACTACAGCAGTTAGAGCAAAAGTGAAAGGGAGTTAAAGTGATAAATGGGTCATGATCTATCTGTTATGAAATTTTCAGACAAGTTTGACAACCCATTGTTGGGTACCTGTTGGAAATAGTTTATTTTTATTGAATTTCACTGTTTTTGGTTATTTTCCTTAATATTATAATAGATAGAGAGAAAGTATAAATTACAATAAATGTTCAGGTAAGTAAGATCTACAAATAAGTCAACATTATCAAAATAGTCATTTGACCCCTTAAGGAGTTATTGCCCATAAAACTTTTTTTTTTCATTTTTTGTGAAAGTCAAAGAGTTGCAGACTTTTTCAAGATTATTTTTTCTCTGAAACTACTTTGCCAGATACGTAAAAACTTTAATTGAATGTTCCTTAGGGTATCTATTTTAAAGATTGTAATCGGGGATTTTATCCATTCAAAACATGGCAGCAGTTTCTAAAAATAGAACATAGGGGTCAAATGAAGATCATGGCTTATATCTAAAACACTAAAGCAGTAAGAGCAAAACTGACACAGATGAAAGTGTTAAACGGGTTTAGATATACCTGTCAAGTAATCTTCAGACCAATAGGACAACTTATTGTTGGGTTACTGTCCAGAAATAGATAATTTTTTTGACATTTTACAGTTTTTGGTTATGTATCATCTTTAATGTTATTATAGAAAGAGAGAAGGGGGAAATGACAAAATTGTTCAGAAAAGTAAGATTTACAAAAAAAGGCAAATGCCTGAAACTGAAATTACAGGTGAGCGATATCAGGCCTCTTGTTTATTTAGTATTGGATACAAATTTGATGCAGTCTGATAAAAAAATGTTTAAGGCAAAATGTTTCAAATAAGGTACCACATAGAGGCTTCATGGTGTTACTATTGAGTAAAGAGGAGGTGTCAATATGGAGGAAAGGGTTTTGATGCCATAGCACTTAATTGGACAGAAAATTAATCTTTATAGAAATTGGATGTGCTATGGTTGCCAGTGAAAAAAACTATACACAAGAGACCAAATAGCATGGATATATTAGCAACTATAAGCCACATCTTTCAGTAATGAGTTAAACTGAAACTGCTTGTTCAGTTATAAAGAAGCTGCAACAATGAGTAAATCTCATGTGTTTCGGCAACTGTGAAGGGCCCTGAATTGGCAATATTTGAAACCTTATAAACTAGAAAACCAACTGGCTGATTCATGACAAAACAATAGATCTTGCATAGAAACACACTTTGAAATTTTTTAGACAAGATATTAGCAAATCATATACCGTATAGCGGGTTATTTTCGCGGGATGTTTATTTTCACTTAATTTTTTTTTTTTTTTTTTTTTTTCTCAGTTATATATATTTATTGAAATTTTTACATTTGTTAGTTTAAAACATCGATTACAGGTACCTTATCCTGGCCTCGTTAACATTAGTAATGATATTTATATATACAGGAGTTAGAGGTTGTTAGTAATATTCATTACATATATATAATATACCGGTATAAAAACATGTAAGTTAAAAGCTAAACAAATAAGATGGTTCAACATAAATGTCTAATATAACAAACAAAAAATAAACAATTCTTCAAAAATGTGATAAAAAAGGAAAGGGTAAAAATTTATGAATAGATAAATATCAGGAAATACCAATGTAAAGAGGTAAAAAGAAAAAAGAAATGAGAACCACTTACATTCACTTTCAGTTTCTCTCAGCCTCTCATACACACATACAATTCTTACTTACATACACACATACATTACCTACTTATGTACATAATTATCGTTTATAATTATATGTATCAAAGTATAAACAAAAAATAATTGAAAAATTTGCTCAAAGATTAATATCATACTCTATAGTGGAAATATATATTGTAATGGGGTCCAAAATTTTTCATATACATCAACATTATTATTTTTCTTTGCAATGTAATATTCATATGACTGATATTGTTTTATTCTATATATAAAACCAACAATATTAGGAGTAAGTTCCTTAAATTTACATTTGTATATACAGGCCTCTACAATAACTTTTTTTTCAACTTGTCCAGTAGGACAAGTACATATCAAAACTTACTTGTCCGAATGAAATTGTAACTTGTCCAAAAAAATCTTAATAATAACCTTTTTTGCATTTTAAGTTGATTCAAGGAACAAAATGAATTAAAACAATAGAACAGAATTTGATTTATATCTTTTGAAATACTATTCAAAAATATGAGTCGAATACAACTGAATCTAGTCATGTCACAGGACTTAGGTTCTACATGTAGTTCATCAATGCCAAAGTCTCATCAGACTCTGCACATGAGGCACCGTCTGATAGGGCTGTCAATGTACACTCATTGGATTTGTATCCTGGTTTTT